ATAACAATTAGAGCTTGTTTGGGAGGGATTAAAATCAGATTAAAATTGAAAATATAGTCGTTGGAGTTGACTTTTATTAGACGGGTGAGACCCAATAACGGCTATATTTTCAATTTTAATTGGATTTTAATCCTTGCCAAACAAGCTCTAAACTGTATTTTTTTTGTTTTAATGGAAAACGAATTCATATGGGTCTGGTGAGTTTTTATTTTCTAACTAACATGAAATTAGAATTCATTTTCACATTTGCCTATCCAACGGATCCTAAATCTCTCGGACACTTGGGCAGGGTAAAAAGTTCGATCAAAGAATAGCCTGACCTGTCTCCGGAGTGGAATTGCATTGAGCTTGATTGAGATGATATGTGGTTCAAATGTACAAGAGATGCACATCTATTTGGAAAGAAAAAAATATTAAAAACGTCAATGAGAAAATAAAGGGAGACAAGAAATGGATATTGAGTGGCCCATTTTCTCGCCATCGCTACTTCTTCCCTAGTTCCGGCTTTACTGGGTTGATTATATTCTCTATATAAACCTTGTTTGGTACAGATTAAAATAAATTTTTTAGTAAATTTTGACAACAGTTGATGGAACATATGGTTGGAAGTTGTGGATTCTAAGAAATGTGTGGTTGAGATTAATTATTGACTTTGATTTAGATTAAAATTTTAATTTTCACCAAACGGAGGCTTAATTTGGTCGACCATTTACTATTATATTGCTTGATAACGTTTCTGTTTTACTTTAAATAAAATAAGAAAAAGTAATTTCAAATATATTTGACTTAATTAGTAAGACCACTTAGACATCAACAGACAAAATTAAAAAAAGAGGGAGAAAAAAGTTATCTTAACAAAGACGTCAAATATGTTCTTAGACAATTAATTTTTGCCAACGAATCCAAGGTTAGAAGGATCCAGAAGAAATGAAATTGCTCGCCGCTACTTTTAACAGTTTGGCCCAAGAATAACGTTATTCTTCCCTACTGAGTTTGAGCACGAGTCTAAGTGATAATTATATGATATTAAATGATATATTCATTTAAATTTAAAATCATCAACTCATTTAATTGAATCTATCATTTAATATTATGTAATTGTCATCTAAACTGATGTTCGATTCAACAGGGATGAATAGCATTATTTTTGACCCACTTGTCGCAAACAAACTAGATTCATCCAATGTCATCCGCTCCAACTTTATTCCACCCCAAATTCTATCCCTTACTTCCACTTTACACAATTCTATTGGTCCCTCTCCCATTAAAGCCGTCACAGTTGGGAGCCTATTGAGTTGGAGAAGAGCTTCAACAGAACGACTTTATATACATAACAGCCATGCTACATGAACAGATTCAATGACATCTTTTTTAATAAATAAACAAGTTGAGCATGTTCAATAGGTTTAATTGATATCCATGTTCTAAAATGCGCACAAATGTACCGTCTAAGCACGAATTCAAGGTATGCACGGAAAAATGCGTTTTTCTTCTAAAAGACGGCGCAACACGCCTAATCCCGCCTAGACGGCATATTATACGCCTAATTTTTTTTTGATAAAAAATCTATTTTTTTATATAAAAATATATTTAATACCTTAAAAATACGAAATGCATTATGGCGCTTATTTTTCGCATTGACACTCCTAAACTTGTGATTCTTGATTCTCAATCTCGTCGCATTGCACGCATTACACATTTTAGAACATTAATTGATATACATACTATTCACTTAAATAATGATATCTCATATATCTCAAATCACGTGATCTCGACATTTGAGGGAATTCACAATCTGCACCGGGAACGTCACAAAATGATGGTTCGATGGTTCCAATTGAGATATCGTGATTTGGATGAACGATCGTGCTATATACATATAAACCATTTGAGTAAAGGGTCACCCCAATTTTTGTGTAATATTGAAATTGATATAGGACGACATCAATAATT